TATTAACATTACAGAAAACAATCCAATAAACTGTACGTTACATTTTTCAATTTGTTTATAGTATCCCCTATACTATAAGTTGTCAGCCTATTAAGAAGAGATCAGCTCTTTTCTGGACGGCTTCAATATCATAATAATAATAATAATAATCTCAAGACAATTCACACAGCGCCATCTAGACCCAAGTTAAGCTAGCTAAAGCTTGTGTTATGGGTACTAGACAACTGATACAAATACATACATTTTTTTTCGTAAATACATACATATTATACATAGAAATCACCCAGACCGAAACAAACAATCATACTCATGAATACAAATGTTTGTGCCGTGCGAGGAATCGAACCCGCGACCATCGGACGTAAAGCGGTGTGCTAAACCACTAGACCACCGAGGTCGTCAAGAGTAATGTTTCGGAAATACTATTGCTGGAAGGTGGTTCCACAATGTGATTGTGCGTGGCAAAGAGTTTTAAAAATAAAAATTTTTGGTGGACCGCTATTTATACACATGCATGTCTATAGTAGTGATGTCTCTATTTATTTATTCTCTAGAATATATCATTACCAAATAAAGATTTAAAACCTATAACGGCCTTATTTTTGTGTCTAAAACGTAAACTCATCTGAGTCTATCCATACACAATTACGGTATATCGTCCAAAGCGACACGTATACCATAGACCAGAGCTTCTTAATCTGTGGTCCGCAGACCACCGAGGGGAATTTGTGTGTGAGATCCGCCATCTTATATATTGACATTTAAATTAATACATAACTTCCAATAAATCTCGAAATTGCTACGCTAAAAATATCTTACTAATACTCCTATTAGGTATAAACGCGAAAGTTTGTAAGTATGGATGGATGGATGTTTGTTACTCTTTCACGAAAATTGCCGAAAACATATAATACAGTATATTTAATTAATATAAAAATGTTTTCGGAGCTCTACAGTAAATCATCTGAAATTTATTCCCATTTTTTATTATAGAGGTCTATGAAATTGTGCTTGATTATAAGGAGACTGTGGGCTGTGGGCTGAGACGTTTTTTAGGGAAAGTTCTAATAAAAAAACATCTGGGAACGTCTTTGACGAGCCTTTATAATATATAATAGACAATAAATAATAATGTTATATGTGTTTATGTATGTTTTTTATTGTCTATTATTTTATAAAGAAAACATTATATTGTCATTCTTATGCTTCTAATAATAGCTTAATATACAGTCTCTTCGCTAAAAGGGTCCATGAAATTGTACTTGATTTTTTAGGGGTCCGTGGATAGAGGATGGTTTAGAAACCCTGCCACAGACAATGGGCCTCGCGGAGATTTGGCCGCGAGCCACACGGATGGGACGATGAGCCGATTTAGGCATCGCCGTGACGTGAAACCCAATTGACGGTTCACCTTACCACGTCAATCTTACACGGAACGTACCTGGTTTTGGATTTATATTTACTACTGACTATGAGTACATCACTACTTATAATAATAGTATATACTAACATCAGAATACAGAAGGCTGTAATCGTAAATACATGCTGCATAGTAAGAAAAATTCTACAAACATTATATGCCGATATTTATAACTTTCTAAGATAAAAGTAGCCTAAGTTACTCCTTATTATATCAGCTACCTGCCAAAAAAGTCCCAAAATCGGTCCAGCCATTTTAGAGATTAGCCGGAACAAACAGATAGACAGATAAAAATTCTAAAAAAAGTTATTTTGATGATGTACCGTATTTATATTCATATGCATGTAGTACAAAACGGTTATTTCAATATTACAAACAGACCTCCAATTTTATTTACATGTATATAGATTCACGTCTGTGAACTACCTGTCGAGGTTTTCTCGAGAAAAAAAATCTCGACTACACAGCATGGGGTTTTTCAAGAGGGGTATATTAAGTTTCTTAAGGTCGGCAACGCGTATGTGACACCCCTGGTGTTTCAGGCGTCCATAGGCTGCGGTAACCGTTTACCATCAGATGGGCCGTATGCTTGTTTGCCACCTACGTGGTATAAAAAAAAATGTCTTCTTATGGTTGGATGATGCACCCGCCTGCGCTGACGCTTACGCGGTTTACGCTGGGGCACCAGCGGAGGATGATAAGATGAGCATGAGGTCAGGTCAGTTAGCCCATCGTGACAAATTCACCAAGAAATTATCACGATGGTTTCCAGGGGGAACCGCGTGGAGGTCAACCTGACTTGGTACATTGCTAGCAATAAGATTATCAGTCCGTATTACTAACAATGCCCTTTCTCCCATCATGGTGTATTATCAGATCCTGTATCATCAGCAATTTTTTTGTTTTCATTGTATAGTAGAAGATAGTGGTAGAATCAAAATATGACTATTCAAAAGTGCTTGTAATGAGTTTATTTGAATAAAGATTATTTCTATTTCTATTTCTATAGGATTAGTAATAAGATACGATGGGACTGTCATTATCATATTATGATAAATAAATCTAGGAATAAAAAACAAATTACTAAATGTAAATACTTATAAATACAAACAAAAACTTATATCGCCGCAAATGGCAATTTATATGCAAAATATCCCACTGGGCTTCATTACTTAGTATAAAACAAAGTCCCTGTCGCTGTCTGTCCGTCCCTATGTATGCTTAAATCTTTAAAACTACGCTACGCATTTTGAAGCGCACTTTTTAAATAGATAGAGTAATTCTAGAGAAAGGTTTATATATATAATACATGTACATCCGAGCAAAGCCGGGGAGAGTAGCTAGTAATTTATAAGCTTAACACAAGTTTAATTTTAATTAGAAGCTGGAGTCGGCTCTTAAGTGATGTGTAGGATGTACTTACGACACTAGTGAAGTGCTGTGTACTTAGGGTTGTACAAATGTACGGATGTGATGACATGTTCGGATTCATTCAACGACATGACAAATAAATATCTATATAAGATATATTATTTTATAGCTATCCAATTGTTTTTATGAGTTAATAAATATTTCTGTATTTGAATTTACACTTATTTAAAACTAGCTGTGCCCGTGCTTTCAGTCGCATGAAATTTATAGTATATGTGTTGTTCTTGTATTCTGATGTATAAGACATCAGAATAACACATATGCTATAAATTTCACGCGCTATATTATTGTAGGTAAAGTTTCATTAAAATCCATTCAATAGTTTCTGCCTGTAAGAATAACAAACATCCATCGATATTCACAAACTTTCGCGATATATTAAGAATATTATTAAAACTAGTGATGCCTGCGACATCTTTCGTAGAAAGATAAATAAGAATTTTCATTTATATCTCAGTACACACATACTTACAAGTAGGACACATTACAGAATGTTTAATCCAATACAATAGAATATAGGTAAACCTGCTTGTGTGAGCCAGTACAAAATGACATAGCTCAGTGTGGAAAATAACTCAAGGAGCAAAACTGATTTTCACTTAAGTACACTTGTCGAGCGCCATCTAATAGCCAATAATCAAAAAACAACAAACGAAACATACATATAACGCCATCTATTGGGTTAATAATAAATTAATTAAATCATAGATATACATATTAATACATTGACAAAATTCTTTATTCCCCCGTTGTGAGGGCATTTCCCTCCTTTTTTAGCATATGTATTAAGCGATATTTAAAAAAACATATTTTGTTTCATAATTTCATGTAAAACTTTTAACACACGAACAAATAGTTATGTAAAGATAAAGATTGAGGCCTATGCAGACTAGTTATATCTTTTTAAACTCTAAATATGAAATTGCATACTGCAACTAAACATATACGCAAACCATTACAATTAAAACAAATTTTGTGCTCTAACAGAAGCGAGAAAATCTCTTGCCTGTAGAGGCATTATAGTAACCCTGTCTGTGTATAAAACTAAAACAGGCTCCCGTTAAATCTTTTTCAAAATAAAACAACGAAACAACATTAATAAAATAATTTTATTAGATTATGCTATATATAACAAATTTGATAGATTCAGTACCACAGAACAGTTCACTTATGAAAGGGCATAACTTCACAACTGTGCCTATAGCTAACAATTTTGTTATGCTTATAATGAAGACATGGACAAGATGATAGAAAATAAAAAAAAACGTAAATTTTTCAAAAAAATATCTTTATGGTAAATAAAGGTATTTACCTCTCGACGTTTCTACTAGGTTGCACTTACAAATCACCAGACCTGGGCATTAACTCGTTAATCACTTAATCGTTAACGAAGTTAACGTTTTGATTAACGGATTAACCTTTATAAATGTTAACCGACACGTTAACTTCCATTAATATGCAGAAGTCCGTTAATCGTTAAACCAATGTCTATTATTTACCGTATGGAACCGCGGCGCGGTGTGAAAATCAGGTTCAATAACAAAAAAGCTCCAACTCTTTAAAGAGTATATAAGTTAACTATTTGATTAACGGTGCCCAGCTCTGCAAATCACATAAGTATTTACATGAAGACAGATTGTCATATCAATGTTATCACATACATAGGTTGTCAATTATCTCAAAGAACACAAACGAAGTATAAACTAGTGATTTATAAATTAGATATTACTAGCTTTCTCTGCGTATTTGTGAAGTGTAACATGCATAACAGTAGGTTGTCAATTATCTCAATGAAAGCAGACGAAGTCGGAGGTATAAACTAGTGATTTATAAATTAGATATTACTAGCTTCCTTTGCGTGATTGTAAAGTATAACATACATCACAATATCACTGCCATCACGGACATAGACTGTCATAGACGACCTCGGTGGTCTAGCGGTCTAGCACACCGCTTTACGACTGATGGTCGCGGGATCGATCCTCGCACGGCACAAACATTTGTATTCATGAGTATGATTGTTTGTATCGGGTGTTTTCTACGTATAATATGTATGTATTTACAAAAAAAAATGTCTATGTATATGTATCTGTTATCTAGTACCCATAACACAAGCTTTAGCTATCTTAACTTGGGTCTAGATGCGCTGTGTGAATTGTCCTGAGATTATTGTTATTATTATTATAATTAACTCAATGAATGCAGACGAAGTCGCAGGTATAAACTAGTTGATTTATAAATTAGACATAACTAGCTTCCTCTCCGTGTTCGTGAAGTGCAGTACTGCAGCTATAGCGTTCAACATATGCTTGCGGCCGTCATAGTCCGTCGACATTAGATAAGCCATCACTACATTCTTGAGATATTCCAGATTTGCACCTTCGCGGGACTGTATTCTTCTTAATCTGAAACAATAATGTAAAAATGGTTATTTAAAAATAACCATTTTTAAACTTTGGTGTTTAATACATATTATTTATAATAATAATAATCTTATATATAAAATTCTCGTGTCACAGTTTTCGTTCCCATACTCCTCCGAAACGGCTTGACTGATTCTCATGAAATTTTGTGAGCGTGTTGAGTAGGTCTGAGAATGGGGGATGAAAAATAGATGTTGGCCGACAACATCTATTTTTCATCCCCCTAAATGTTAGGGGTAGTCCACCCCTAAATTTTTTTTTTATTTTAAGGCAAAACAACGTTTGCCGGGACAGCTAGTAATAATAGAATAATCTCAGGATAATTCACACAGCGCCATCTAGTCCCAAGTTAAGCTAATTAAAGCTTGTGTTATGGATACTAGACTAGATGCGGATATGAAAATATTTCGGATTATCCGTTAGTTCCGGATAATTTCGGTTACCAATAGTATTTTTTTAAGGAATTTCAAAAGTAAAATACAAGTAGCTAATAAAATAGTTACATAACGTGTCTCAATTAGGCTCCGCCCCTATCCGGTATTATCCGAAACTTTTATTTCGGATTCGGTTACGGTTACGGATATGCACGACTAAAATATGCAGATTCTGCCAAACTGAAGAGGAAACCCCACTACACATCCAATATTATTGTAGCCCATTCATGCATAAACGAAATATCTCCTTTGGAAAGTTTACACTTTTTAACACCGAGGAGATAAATACAATCGCTCCTAAGAATATCCTTCAATTCTTGTCCCTGACGGGTCTAGGCAGCGAACTTTGAAAAAGGGCGAGCACAATAGATCTATGTAGGTCGCAGTGCTACAAACATCTGACAATAGCCCAAACAACCCAATAAAAAAAAATACGGTTACGGATATTTTTTTATATCGGATATCCGATAATTTCGGTTACGGTTACGGAGCTCCTTAACATCCCTAATATCTAGTACAATTTAGATCTTTATTACAATACTACATAATGTTTAATTCTGCCACTATTAGGATGTGTAAGACCACGAATATTTAGTGCGGAAACCTGACCTACTACTGGAAATGTAACTACGTTCTCTATGGTTATCAAATTCTTATGTTATTGAATCTACTCATTCAGACACGACACGTGTTTCATCTACGAACAAGGCACTATCAGGCAATGAATATAGCTTGAAAGGATAGTGTTGTCTGTTCGGCGATCAAGCTACGTAGTAGGTACGTATGTATGAGTCATAAGACATACTGAACTGGAATATGTGTGGGAGTCTTACCTGTCAATCTCTTCTTTTAATGTCCTTATAACTTCTTTAAACCGTTCCTTCTCAATGGTCCCTTCACGCTGGCAATCTCTGTAAAAAACATAGTAAGTAATATTAATAACTGAGAATAATTCGCACAGTGCCATCCTAGCTAAGGTAAAGCAGAGCTTATGTTATGGGTACTAGAGAACTGATGCAAATAGTAAATAAATACAGTAAAATACTTTTTTTTAAATACATACCTAATGGGAAAACCACGACCACTACTAATCACACTCAAGAATACAAATATTTGCACCATGCGAGGAATCGAACCTCGAACATCGGAAGGCCTTGTACTAATCGCGAGCACATCGAGACCATTGATAAACTAGCTGTTACCCGCGATTTTGTCTGCTTTTAGATAAAATATAGCCTACTGTTGTCCCGTTTAGTCGTGAAAAGTTAACAAACAGACATATAATAATATTTTAAATTCAAAAATCTGCCTGAGACTTTTGAATTTAAAATATTATTATATATTGAGAAATTTTGAAAGCGTTTTTGAAACGTTGAACTCTACCCCATCTTAGGCGCTAAAGGTTGAGAACATAAATCTGGCCGTCAATAAAAAAAAATGTATCAATTTAAGTTTCTGACACTTCAGTGATAGAAACTTAAATAAGAAATAGTGTATAATAATAATATCCTTCGATAATTCACACACCGCTATCTAGGCCAAGTCTAGTTTTAGAGGAGCTTCCCCTCGTGTATACTCAGATTGTAGAATGAACTACCTGCCGAGATTTTAGAAAGAGCATGCGACACTACAGCGTGGGGTTTTTCAACGATATATTAACCTATTAACCGAGGAATTTTAATTAAGCAGCATACAACGAGCACTGTCTCTCACTAGGACGTGTCAGCACGTCAGCACAATATAATTTAGTGTATATATTTTTGATATGAAATATCCCACACGCTCCAGGTTCCAGGGCGCAGCAGAAATTTAAAAAAAGTAGGTATAACATATGTCCTACACGTACACAAAGTTTGACGTTTGACTTATTTATACGTCCCGCTCGGTTTACAGGTTAAGGTCTCTTACGTGCTTAAGAGACCTTAACCTGTGGTGTTTTCGTATGGGCCGTATACTTTATTGTGACTATCGTATTATAAAAATAAATAACAACCTATATTGTCCTTCTAGTGTATGTTTCTCCTTCCTCAGTTGGGATATATCCAGATCTTTTCTAGCCAACTCGTGCGCATAGTGCAACATATGCGGCGGTGCTGTCACATCCTGCAAAGAAAACAATGGTCAAGAGATTTTATCATACGCATTTCGCGAACTCTGTAAGTTTCTTAGGCTTTAACTAGGCTTCGGATATTTGATGTAAGAGTAAAAACAAATAACATCTTAAACATACTCTCGGCAACACGTAAAGAAACTGAACTGAACTGACGTGTTGTATTTTTTCTATTTATATAGATAAACAACAAAAGAGCATAATACAGATCATATAGATTTATTGAAGAATAGTCAAGAAGGAAAGTTTAAAACAAAATTGTGCTGTTCTTGCACTATAAACTTAAATACAAATTAAACTAAAGTAGCCTTTATACAAAGTCTTCTGTATGAGTAACTCAGTTTAACCTATTTATACTATTAAACAAAATTAAAAAAAAATCTAAATATCTTTATTCATGTAGGTCTATTAGAGACTATTATAATATGTCAAATTTACCGTCAGTTCGGAATGATTTCGAGATGAGAAGAACTGACAAGAAAATCAGCTCGTATTCTTTTCAAATAAATTTATTCTTTAATGATTTGAAATACCATAAGTCATGAACAAAGATATTTTGAATTTTGAATTTGAAATGTTGAACATGTTTACAATAATGCAGAGTCATTTAAATTCAAATTTGGGAGAATAGAGTGACCACCAGTATATATACATATAAACAGTTTGATGGCCTCAGTAATCTAGAGATTATATATCGCTTTACTTGCGATGGTTGCTAGTTACATTCTTCGCACGGAAACGTATACAATACACGGTACATGCAATTACGGATACGTAAAACCGGCGATTTAGTTGTACAATGTTTCATACATTTTAATAAAAAACAAATGCCAGAAGATGAAGGTAAAACATTGAATTTTATCGAATTGGAAATATCAAAAGCATGTAAAAACTTTAAACATTCACTCACTGTTAACATCCCCTCTTTCCAATGACCGTCTTCCACGCTGACCTTCCTCGAGCGGTCGTTTCTGGCCCGAATATAATTGTCCGTCTCCTCCAATAGAGCAGCGTACCGGTCCCTCTGTGTTTGAACCTGTTTCTCTAAACTCTGCACCCTCGTCTTCAGGTCTGAGTTCACTTCCTTGTAGTAATCTTGTTCACTCTTCATTTTCTACAAATATTATTAATTATTTTGTATTATTTTCGAACTATATTAATGTTGGAGATCTTTATAAGTGCCAATCACAGATGATTTGTAGACTGTAATAATGACCACTATTAATGATCATAAGATTGATTTCAGCAAATTACAAATGATTATATGTGTACCTGTTTTTATTGATGTAAGTGTTTTTCTATGTATATTTAAAAAAAATCTGTAATACTCAAGATAATTTGCACAGCATCATCTAATCCCAAACTATGCAGAACTCGTGTTATTGGTACTAGACAATTCACAGATGTACTTGAATACATTTTCCTTTTGTAAATGCATGCATAGAAAACACCCAAACCTATACAAACAATCATACTCATCGAGCGAGGAATTGAAGCTGCGACCAGACACTAGACCACCGAGACTCAAATATTTGCAAAGTATTACGCGAGAGCTGAAATCATGATCATTGGATGGTGAATCACAGTGATGCATTTATCATAATTAAGTATGTTTTACTTTGCGTATTTTAAAAACCAAACTTACCTCCTCATATAACTTTAGAGTATCCACTTTATCTTGTTTATTTTCATCTAGCAACATTTTATACGTTTCCAACTTCTCCTTCAGCACAACTATCTCACTCTTCAAATCATCTACCTCGCTTTCCTCAACATGTACGGTTTTCTTTGAATTTTGTACTTTATACATCTCAAACTCTGTTTTAAGAACATCAAATTCCTCTCTACACTTGATGTGAATGTTCTCATACCCATCTACTTTGAATACTGTAGTAATATCGATGGGACTTCCTAATTTATCGTTTTCAGCTATCAGTTCTTTCTTTAGTATATGTATTTTGTCTATCAGTGTGTGTAGATATTCACTGTCAGCTAGTTTTTCATTGTCCGTCTCGCTTTTTTGTTGTGGCTCGTCTGAAATAAACAATATAGAATGTATATCAAATCAAAAAGCATTTATTCTTGTCACTATCAGATTATGAACGTTAAGTTTTTGTATTATTATTTTTAACTAACTATTATGTACCAGGGATGTCACGGAGCTCCGTAACCGTAACCAATACTATCGGATATCCGATATAAAAAAATATCCGTAACTGTAACCGAATCCGAAATGAGAGGATAATATTGAATAGGGGCGGAGCCTAATTGAGACACATTATGTAACTATTTTATTAGCTATTTGTATTTTCCTTTTGAAATTCTTTAAAAAAATAATATCCGTAACCGAAATTATCCGAAACTAACGGATAATCCGAAATAAGTTCATATCCGCATCCGTATCCGAAATTTCATATCCATCCCTGTTATGTACTTCTCCTTTTTAATGCTGTAATCTTGTGGTTGTACAAATAAAGCATTATTATTGTTTATATATATATATTATATATTAAACACTGTTTAGCCGGCCATAAGAACCAGTTAGCTTCAAAACTACTGTCCATCTAGATTAAAAAGGGCTCGCCTTGCCAACATCTAAAGAAAGTAAATGAGATGGCACCTTGCTGGAGGTGCCTCATATCAAAATGCCAATAATATCAAAAAATCTGATTATAGCTGGAAAGGTTGATCGCAGAAAGAAAAAATATATATATATTATATATCTCCCTTTGGTGGGCTGATAAAATTGTCATTGTAGGTGAGATTCACCAGACAAAGACAACTATAAAAGAAATTATTGTGATGACAAGAATTTTGTAGACTATTCTACATTATTATTATTATCATACCCCACTGGTGCCCCGTCAACCTAACCCCCTAAAGCAAAAGGGTGCACCATTCCATTAAAAGTAATAGCAGTAAACAATGCTTACCAGCAGTAGTAGGAGTTTCGTTAGGCGCTATATCTCGCAGTAAGCCACCGTTAAGCGCTTGCTGGAGCCGCTGTATGGTGTCGCGGTCATTGCGTCTCGCGGCTGCATATTGTCCGAGTGTATGAGACAACTCCGCCACGCGACCTTCGAGCGACGCCACGCGTTCTTCTTGTCGAGCACAACTCTTGCGGGCCGCTTCCTCGCAACGTTTCGCTTTTATTTGCTCCTACGAAATAATAATAAAAGTAATAATCCAAAACAATTCACAGAGCGCCATCTAGTCCCAAGATAAACAGAACTTGTGTTATGGGTACTAGACAACTGACAGAAATGCTTAAACACATTACACTCAAACCAATACAAACAATTATACTTATGAATACAAATGCTTGCACCGTGAGGAATCGAACTCGCGACCATCGGAAGTAAGGTGGTCTAACCGCTAGACCACCGAGTCCGCCGGGGGTGTTTCCTATATATTATTTCTTCATATTATGTATTTTCCTACATAGTATAATAATAATAATCTCAGGACAAACCACACAGCGCCATCTAGACCCAAGTTAAGCTAGCTAAAGCTACACAAGCTTTAGCTAGCTTAACTTATGGGTATTAGACAACTGATACAAATACATAGATTTTTTTTTTTCGTAAATGCATACATATTATATATAGAAAATACCCAGACGGATACAAACAATTATACTCATGAATACAAATGTTTGTGCCGTGCGAGGAATCGAACCCGCGACCATCGGACGTAAAGCGGTATGCGAGACTGCTAGACCACCGAGGTCGTCAAAAGTATGTAAATATCTATATGAGTCGTATAATACCCATAACACAAGCTCTGCTTACCGTGGCACTAGATGGCGCTGTGTCAATTGGCAAAATCAATTACTACATCTATGTCCAATATGTCTATAAATTATAAGTGACTTACCTCTCTAATAGCAATGGAGTGAGACTGCTCGAGGAGCGCTAATTTCTGTTGCAGTCGCACCAGCAGTGCGGGTGTCTCCACTGTACGAGCCTCCGCGCGCTGCAGACGACGCTGAGCTGCTTCTAAAGAACTGCTCAGGTCCCGGACGCGCTTCTCCAACTCTGCTTGTGATGCTGCAAACATCCAAGGAAATATATATACAAGGTTATATGAGATTTATATGTTTATAAAACATCTGTTTGATTTAGAGAATATATGTGTACAACATATCTCGTTACCTTATATGTGAGTAGTATAATAAGAGTATGATATTGGCATTACCACCGATTTTGTACTGTTTTATTGGCTTAATAAAATTATTTCTATTGATTAATATTACCAGTAAATTGTGATATGGTAATCTTCATTGTCGAAAAAGATAATAAATTAGTTTTTTTTCGGACTACTCTAATGCTGTTGGCCGCAGCTGGCCTTTACAGCTTCACCGGACGATAGGGGGCTAGTGCAGATGGCTCCAAACCTGGCGGAAAAATGGCGGAAGGACTTATGGACCGGCTGAAGGCCAACTCCCGCCTGACGGATACGACTTTAGTCTAAGGGCACCGCTAGGGGTTGAAGCTCGGCTCAGGCCGTCGTAATATCGATCCCCATTTGAATTGGACGCGAGATCTATTGGAGGGGAATATAAATTACAGTTGAGAAGAAATATATATATATTTCTTGATGGCCACAGTGGTCTAGTTTGTTGATGGTTGTATGGTTTCTTGACGGTCAGTTATATATTTTATATTGAATAGTTATAATTGAATATTGCTCACCTTGACTCTCTGAGGAGTTAACAACTTTATCTTCTAATTTCTCCTTGGTTTTTCTTTCTGAATTCAACTTCACGTGTAATTCCCTGAAATCAATGAACTAGGCATTAAGCCGAGGTAGAGTTTTGTATGAAGTTCTCTAAGTGGGTAATTTCTGATTCACATGTTTCATTCACCAAGAATTTTGCTTTGCTTAGTTCAGCTTGAACATGATTTCATATTAGTAACTTTGTATGTTTGATTTTTTTTTCTCATGCTTGTACTGATAGTAATCTGTTTTGTTTGCTAATAAACAAATAAATAAAATTGATACATACTGTCTCTTCTTGTAATAACTAAAAAAATAGTCTATTTTAAAATTAACTCAATATGAAAACAATTAAGATTGAATATGCTATCAGGAATTAAGTCTGCCATGTATATAAGTTAGATAGCAAAAGACTAGATAAATAAATATTTCTCCTCAACTCACTTCATCATGGCCATGTGATCAGCCCTCTCATTCTCTCTTTCTTGTATCTCATAGCCTATCTTCGCTTTAAGACTATTTATTTCAGCCAAATGTTGCTGCACTAGTGTTTTTGTTTCCTCTTTTAATGCTGCAATTGTGTTCTCATACTGAAAATTTAAAAAAGTAAAAGTAAGTAATTAACATCCTCATGATCTAGCAGTTTAGCACATCAGCAACCTTACTTTCTCTAGATGTGTATGTGTGATGTACTCATAGTTTTGAAGCTATGGAAAATAAAGATAGCAAAGGTTCGGCCATGAGCAGATATTTCCATAAGCTGACTGATAACCACAGAGTAGTCTAACACCTTGCGCTACTCGCTATTGTAGACAAGGGATCTGTCTTAAGATTTCTTCCATACTTGCAGGCTGGAATGCAACATAGTTGCCAAGATATTGGCACCAGATCAATAGCTGCTTTGGATTCAGGTCTAGTTTTTATTGCTGTTTTTGTGGCTGTTTTCTATGTATATTATGTATGTATTTATTAAGTATTACCATCAATTGCTTAGTAGCCATTACACAAGCACTGTTTAGATTGAAATAGATAGTACTGTGTGAATTGTCCAAGGTTATTATTATCATATAATATTGGTAAGTAACAAAACTGGATGACTTTAGCTATGAATCAGGAAAAAAGATGAAGTCTTTTATGTATACAGCAAAAAAAGAAAAATATAATTACATAGAAAAAGGACATACTGCGGCGACCCTAAATAATTAGATAAAGGCAGTGATGATGATGATGATTATAATGACATTTTGTAAAATAAGTTTAGCAACTACAAATATATAAGCTATAATAATAATAAAAACTGTTGTTCATGCACACACAGGCACCTTACACTCACATGTACTCACTCACCACTCCACACATTATTATATTAGTTTTGCTGAATAGTTTTAGATATTTTAGCAAATTGTCTGTACTTTTAAACTTAAATTTTTTACAAGATAATTTGTTTTCTGGTTCCTACAGGACAGGCCCAGCCTAGTGTAGGATTCAATGCTATTGTGATTGTATTGAAACAATTTTTGTAAATAAATAAATAAATAATAATTATTATTATTATTATACACATTGAAGTAGAATTAGTCAAATAAGTAGAATATCAAAAAAAAAATTGTCCAACTTTCCTCTTCAAGAATGTATTACATTAAAAATTATAAATAATGAAGTGTACCACACATTCTCTGTCTAATTAAGTCAATTTTCTTTATTGTTATATTCAAATCTATAAACAGTTGTATTAAAAGTATCATCAAAACCATGTGAATTGCTATTAAAATATATTTACCTTATCTCTTGTAACTTTTTTGTCAGCTTGAAAAGCTTCCTCCATACGAGCTTTCTCTGCTGTCAGCGTAGATAGAGACACGGTAAGTGCTGCCACAGAGTCATCTAAAATATGGAAAATAATTTATATATTAGAATGTCATAAGAAAAGATGGTTTAAATTGCTTCAGTCACTTTATTATATTTTTACTAAATTTGTTTTTGAACTCAGCATTGTAGCAATCTATGTTACACAATAAAGTACTCAAAGAGTAAAAATGTACTCTTTTTACTCCTTGAGTAGTTAAGTATGTACCATAGATAACTAAGAGTAAAACAATTATGCATATCTGTTAATACACTTTCACACCAGAGTTAATTATTTTTGTAACATTCATGTTTTATAAGTGATTACTCATTGATCAATATTACCTCCTTCACTTGGAGACTCTGTCTTGTTCAATGCCTTCAAACTTATTTCTAAAGCTTCTTTTTCTTTAACAAGCCCTTTGTATGCAGCAACAACATCTGAAATACATACACACAATATTATGACTTTGAGGTAAAAACATAAAAAAATATATGAATCATACATAAATAATTCTTCGCCTCAGTCACTTGCATTAAATAAAAAAGTATTCTATAATTGTTATTTAAATTTGGAATATTTTTGTAACTATTCTAACTGGCAGGTTGTAACTGGCTTTTTCAGTTTCATCAGAAGAAAAATGAGAGGTGACTGCACTCCAACAACTTGGGATGGTTATGCAGCAGCTGAAGGTCGACTACTGTGACGGATACAACTTCAGACTGAGGGCACCGCTAGATATTCAAACCTTGTTAAACAAAAGAAGCTGTATGATGTAGAAACGTTTGCCTGCCTGCCTACTCAGTAAATTTAAAAACAAAAATTGATAACAATTGTATGGTAACAAAAATTTGGTTATTCCTATAGCAATAATGCAGCATATTAAACATAATATTAACAACTGTAGATGCTATATATAATACTGTAAAGTGGACTAAAAATTTGAGTAACCAAAACAAGATTACAAGATTACAAGTTCAAAACTAAGAACATATGGAGGCAATATTAATCACCATCCCATAGATTATTTTTGAAAATTACTCACCTCTTAATCGAGCTTCATAACGCTTAATTTGGTCCGCTTGTTTAGTAATCGTCGATATCAACTCTTGTTTCGATAATGACTCCATTATTTCACAATTTACAAATTATTGCTGAGTACAAGTTACAGTTTCACTTTACTTTTACAATGCCAAATCTAATTATTAAAAGATGGTATTGACACACATTCTTACTAAAACTACGTTATATTAGTGTTTGTGATGACATAGTAATTTGTTACTTATTAATATGAAAATATTAAAAATTTATGTTGGTTGATTTATTTTGATTTACTACATTGAATTTGATTTCAATTAAGTGTTGCACTGTAGTCGATAAACTGTCATATCGATATACCTAAATGCCCCAATCATTAATACTATCGACATATCAGTAATATCAGTTTTTACGTATTCTGATCGGAATGACATAATGTCTGTTAACATCTTTTTATAGTTTATGGTTTGTTAACTATCTGTCGCAACGTCGCGTTGCGGCGTCGCGGCGTCGCATCGTGTTGGTGATTTACACTAGGTAACAAATTGTAGTACTAACAATATTCAAAACTTAGTATGATATTAATGTCATCACTTATCCGTATTATCTTAATCAATTAACATATAATATCGGGTTGTGTAATATATAATCGACAGCGTCTATATGTGATTAATTTTTTGGTTAACAACATGACATAACTATGTAGTATGTATAGTTGTACCTATACATGTAATATTATATTATCTGTGCCTATACCTACAATAAATATTCTTGGTAGTATTAACCAACAATAATACAGTATCTAAATTATATGAATAAGCCTGTTGATAGCGTTATCTTTATTGATATTGGCAATTTTATTCATATTTTGTAAAATACTAAAATTTGAGATTTTGAAGACAAAGTTATCGATAGTTTGATAATAGATTGATAACACTAGCTGAATATGAAACATTTTTTTATTCTGTTTATCCTTTTGGAAAGGCAAAGGTAACTGTGCTCATACAGCCGTGTTTGTTGGTTTTTATATTCCCAAAAAATATTAAAATCATATGTGAATGTTGCAAATTGACACATTGATTGATGTAGAAATAAATTTTACATCAAATAGATATATTTGTAAATTAAAAGTCATTATAATTTATCTTTTTCTAGTAACAGCATATTGAATATTTTATTGTATGGATGATGATGGAACAAAACGTCCGACTGCGAGAAAGGTAAACGCAAGCGAAATGAACCATTTTTAATTAATATGTAATTAAAAAATATATAATAATCAATTACAAACCATAGTAGCCAAGTGATTTACAACGCCTGTTCCAATATGGCCGCCAAAAAGAAAATATATTAATGGCCATCCATAATCCATGGGGTGAGAGTGGGTCGACAAACTGTGACGTTATGAGGGGGAGGGCCCTAAATTTCGTGACGTCATATTTCTAAAATATCGTGTTAAAACACGATATGAACAACTAAAAAATATTTCCAACTGCACCAGTATAAGAATAAGGTTATTGTTTCTTTAACGAGTGCATTCTCAGATCATATACTAGTGTAAAATTGCAATTTTGTGACGTAGAGGGAGGGGAGTCACACAAATGTGGCCAACTGTGACTAGATTTTATTAAGTGGTTTTAAGTTTCTTTGCGGTAATAGAAACACCTACAACAAACTAGCGATACATTGTAGATACAGGATGCAATTATATAATCTACTAGTTTGAGATCACGGAATCGATTCTCCTTTGAAAAAAATATTCTGGGTGTTTTGATAAACGCAATTTGTCGTTTAGTAATTTAGCATTTACTATTAAATAATAATGCTGACAATAATATTCTCAGATCAATACTGATACATTATTTATGTATTATAAATACTACTATTTCTCCAAATTGGTTAATACGGAATGTATTATAATTAACGGTACTGGATTTATAAAGTAAGAAAGCGTGTAGATAATTATTTCCATGTTACAATTTATAATAAAAAAAATCCAAACCTGTATTCACAATGCATCGAGACGAGTGCATTGACCTCGACAGAAGGGTGCTGGGGTGACACGGTTTCATCCACCCCTCGAATCCGACGCAAAAATCGAAGCTGAATCTAGCATTTGGGTGGAGCGAACTTTATACATTTATCTGTATAATTATATTACAATACATTAATTAAACACGTTTGTAATAATGCAATTCATATTCGAATGTTAAAGAATTTATTTGGTATATTAAAGGAACTTAAACGTTGATAAGAGGTACAGGGGGAGTGGAGGGACGCCCTGATTTAAAAGAGCCCCCACTATAAGGTTCTTTGAATTCTGCTTTCATCCGTCATATACTTGTCCCTACTCTGAAAATCTTAACGCCTAATGGATAGCTGAGTGGCGCGTTCCATAGCTCATTATGTGCTACATACAACTTAGCTACGCCAAGGACGCGGTCTTTACCGTTATTAATTTTGGGCGAGGTTAACCCAAAAATACGAGGAAGCCTCGTACTATTCTTTTATGCAACTAGAATATGAACATACTCACCTGATGATAAGTGGTAACTGTCGTCTACTTATATAAACGGTAACATGGAAATCACGTCATCTGATAACTCTAATACCACTCATTCGTTGCTATACCGTAGGACTGCCTCTCTACCCTGTAATTTACCTGCCAAATCTGTTCAATCGAAACAAAGACTGCTTGGAAACGGAAGTATGTGAAACAGAGCTCACTCAGATGACTTTGTCCGCTTATCTTTGTAAAACATCAACTTTCACTAGATTTCTGCTAGCGATATCTTATATTTTAAAGAGAATTTTCGTTTTTCTGTGATGAAATTCTCTGGCTCGTTCATCTTGTGATGAAACAGCTTTCAGAATGAGCGGTAGATTAAAAAACTATGACTATTCAAAAGTGCTTAAATTTATTTGAATATAGAATTTTCTATTCTATTCTCTTTGACGTGGTCGAAAGCGCTATTCCATCATCCATTAAAAAAAGGCTGAGGGTGAACAGGAGAGAAACAACGGTAATATTTTAAATGAAAGATTATTTAAATATATTATTGCTAATGTCAATATTTAATGTCTATATCAATATTCCCTACATCAGATTACATTCGTTGACATTATTTCGAAAATAAATGTAAGTAAGCCAAACATTTCTTTCATACATTATATCGGCGATTTGTACTCTGTCTTATATTTCTAGCTACGTCCTAGGCCAAAACCTTACAATACCCAAACCTGCCCAAAGTAATGCAAACAGAAAAAGAAAACTAAAACAAACATTAAATGTGGTTATATAAACACTAAACAAATAAAAAAAAAGTGTTAGTTTTAAATTAACTGAAACTATTCTAAACACAAAATACCACATATACGAACACAAAATACTAAAGTGTAACAAAACAATAAATGGGACAGGTGTGTGATCGGTATCAAAACGCACAGTTCGGTGGAGAAGCGAGTGTTTCTATTCATTTGGAGGGACGACACAACATATAACTTAGATATTATTATGTGCCGAATCTTTCGTACGCGTTATACCATGCAACCAACATCACAGACTAAACCATACGAAAGATTGTGAGATTCAAATGAACACTAGATAAACAAGAATTGGTAAGGATATTATACCAGTAATATTAAGAAAGACATGCAGTGGTGGCGCCCATACAAGGTATAAAACAGCACTGGAGAATATAAATTGTAACAAAAATAATGGCGCCATCTGAATACATTATGAAAGTAATATGATCGATAATAATCTCAAGAGGATATAACTTAGACCTCTTACAGATCAAGTTCTTGTTCTGTATTAGGGAAATCATCTTTACAGTTTCTTAGTATTTACCAAAATGTTACAATTAAGGCAGATTTGATAGCAGATTTTGCGTTAACAATCTAATATTAGGTAGTTTGAAATAAAAGCATTTTTTATTCGTGTACAAAAATAACCACTGCATGTATAATAAATTGTGTAAAATCGATGAATATAGCAAACTTTGTGTGCGTATGTCCCTTAAAGAGTCGCGAGGAGGTAATAGACAGCGCGAGAAGTCTGTACAAATACACGCCCTTCCCCTACAGACGTCTATCACCCCCTCCGGAGTTCCGACCACAAAGTCGACGGGCGTAAGTCTGATACATAAAATGCATCAGTGTTATAAAATTGAGCACTTATTTACGTATTACTCACATTTATATTTAAGCCACAAAACATGGAGGTAGTTTTCTATTATATATATAAAAATACCTAGAAAACACTTCGATTAGACGATTTTGTACTTCATATTGCTTTATATTTCAGACTACCTAATAGTAACATCTTTTTTAAAGATTGTACCATAATTCTTAAGCACATTCAGATCATGCTATTGCAGCAATCGCGGACAAAAGACTTAGCACATACAGCTTTCATATACTCAGAGGTACATTTAAACTTTTGACTAGTTTTGATCCACACCATTTATATATTGTTTCGTGTGTTTCATGGTATTATATACTTATGTTAACTAAACACCACACCAACATAATTTAAACTCAAAATCCTAAACTACGTTTAAATTAGAGAACACAGTTTTATAAATACTTAAGTATAGACGCTTAAAACTTTAAGGTTGCGCAAAATAATCTGACTAGTTCCACATAGTTAAGTACTTTAAATAAATAATCTTATTGAAACATTTATTCTTACAGATACAAATTATATGAATACTTATTTGAAATGCATAATACAAGCCCATCTATAGAGAATTACTCAACTCTGCAGTTGTTCTTTTTTTCATTAAATGATATGCATTATCATTATCTATGAATAATTTATCTATGCACGTAGTATGACCTACCAAATACGAATATCTGGAACAATACAAATCATTAGATAGGTATGTTCATTACTGAGTGAGTAATTACTGAACTAATTGCAAACTTACACTAAATATTCAATATATTAATTATAACATCAAAATGAAATCTATATATCTATTACGATTATAATAAATTATGTTTACAATGAATTGAAATTACTTAAATATAATAATAAATAGTGATTATACAAACTAATTAGAGTCAATATCATGTTGTGAAAGTCAAATATAAATGTTATATTATAAGGATTAAATATATTGGAAAAAATTGGATAGCATAAAATGCATTTGGCAAATGCCATTATTGTATATGATGATTCGTGTCAAGTGTACAATTTTGACAAATGTACAAATACTGCATGTAAAGAGGTATAATTCTTTCTATTCCTTGACTTTCACTATATACACAATAATTAATGCACTCACAAAACTGATACATATATCCATGTCACAATTACAAAATTTAGTCAAAATGTTGATCAATATTAAATTACATTTATGTCATGGTCCATCAACTTCATAATATAGATTGAGATTTTCAAGTAGTCACTTTTTTATTAATCAATACACTTAATTATATTGAGAATAAACTGTTATGGAATAAATGATTGGAAACATACAGTGATTTCTTATAATAATCATATCCTATAAGTATATAAATTATATGTAACATCAATTTTTACATGTAAATGATTTTGTGCATGGACTCAATATATCAAGATTATCTTAACCTTTATTGTAAAAAGCTGAGGTTACAATTTAATGTTAGCAACTTTAACATGAACTTTATGGAAGTATAATCTATAGATTACCATTGTATTATTGCAAAGTGTAAAATCAGTCATTGTTTCATCTGACATCTTTGGTAGTCCCACATTCACTGCTTCCCAACAGCTCCCATACAACCCAACATTTGTGTCCTAACAGCTAGAGTAATACATTTATTTTGCACTTCATTTATAAACTTTATAGTGGTACACATAAAGTTGTTTATGGTGTGCAGTCACAACACTACAAGTGTTGAAAATAAATAGGGCAGTAATACAAAATGTATGTACTATTATAAGTATTTTTGAATATATATTATATGGGAGTGAGTACAATTGCACTGGTTTTTGTATATAAATAAATTTCTCATATATTTTTTTTTACTTATAGTAAAGTTTAATATTGCACGGTCAAGTCATTAAGAATAAATTATTGCCTGACTTTCAGTTATACTCTTATTGGCTTATAAACTGGGAACACATTTTATGTTTTGTCTTGCTCTACTATTACCTCTTATAGATTATAAACTGCTAGTATTCTCCTATTGTATATCCTATAGCTGCACCTAACTGTAAATGAGAATTTTAATAGCAAATACAGTAAATATTTAAGGAAGATCACACTTATCTCTCTTATGAAACTTGGAATTGGATATAAAAAAATTGAATATTTGTACTATGTTGCAGAAAATTCTCATATACAGCCGAGTATGAGTTAGCAATAAATATTAGCCTCTGACTGGCTTAATAATACCTTTTTATTAGTCTTTTTTAGTAAAAAAATCAGCAGTAAAATGCTTTCAGATATCTATTGCTAACTCAATAATTACAAATGACTTAAGATTATTATGTTTAAAAAAGTAAAATATTGAAGTCATAATGAAACACTTTGCCATTCACTTGCATTTGTTTCATACATTATTAATGTGATGAGTTTGTACTTATTTGAACGAATATGGTTCAAACTGGTATAATGTCATGATTTGCATCCATTTTCTACTCAGTACTAACATTAATCAAGACGATGCCAAACCATGACGTGGTAATGATCAACATTTTTGTATTAGCTACAATTTATTGACTAGATTTTGAATAGTTTAAGATTTACTCTTGTTCGTTTTGAAGCTGACCTGCAGCACCTGGCCATTGAGCGAGTATCCATTCAGTGACTGAATAGCAACGACTGCATCATCATAATTGGTCATGGTGACAAAACCGTAGCCTTTGCATTTGTTGGTTGTCGGATCTCTTATTATTTTAACACTCTGGACGGCACCGAACGGGCCAAAGAGCTGCCACAATACACTCTCCTCAGTATCAGCCCCGATATTGTACACAAAGATGCACCAGCCTGAACCACCTAACGCGTTACCTTGTATGAGGGGATCAGCTAAGGGAGAAAATCTTTGGAGACCTTTGTTGATCGCTAGGAGTGCCTTACCAGCTGGAAGGAAGCGACGAGTGGATGTCGGAGCCAAGTATGCAGCCAATGGAGCGAGTGCCTTATTCTGATTACTGGGGTTGTTAGCACACTTGACTGTCATCGGTCCCGTACCACCTGGAGGTACAGTTCCATTCAACTCACGTATAGCTGCCTCAGCCTCGCAACGTTGATCATACCTGATGAATGCTACACCTCTCGACGGCCCCTGGATGGACTGGTCATCACCTCCAACTTGTAACAAGTGACTCACGTTCACATTTTCATGCAGGATCCGCGAGCTGATGATAGTGCCATAAGGACTGAAGAGTTTCTCCAGTTCTTGCTGCGTCATGTGTTTCGGCAGACCCGACACGTACAAGTTAGCGCCTTTGATAGCATCAGAACTGGGGCGGGCGTACGAGACTTTAATGATTTTGTTCTGTAATCTCAAGCCATTCAGCGTGTTCACAGCTTTCTCCGCGTCCTCCGCCTTGTGATAATTGACGAAAGCATATCCAAGACTCTGACCGTTCAAGATATGGTCAGGGAACACAGTCACTTTGTCTCTAATTAGCTTGCAACTTTCTACTTCGCCGACGCTCGAGAACAGCGATCGTATTTCTTCTTGTGTCATCGTTTGCGGTAAATAATTCACTATTAGATTCGTTTTTGACTCGTTATTGCTAGGTTGCACCTTACTACCATTTTGCGTGGGCTGGTTTGCGTTCACGGTGTCGAGAGCGTTTGCCATCATTTTTAATGATTTCTATTTACACCGAATAAGGTGAAATGTCACTAAATCAGTGACTTTTGATAGGAAATATTAACAAAAGCAAATCAGATCATAGATTCCTTGGTGGATTTAATAACAGCACTTCGCGTTACTTGAAAGCATATGCAAGGTAAGAAAATCAATAAGATGCCTGGTCACTTCTGTACCTATCCTGTTTTTGGTGATACGGCACCGAGTTCGTTGAATCAAAATATAACAAGAAACACAAATAAACTATAGTTTATTAGATGCTATATAGAATATTAAAGCAAAGTGAAAAGGAAATCAACCAAAAATCTATGCGAGTTGCGACCTAATCCCGTAAATTCATTTCTTTCACTTCACTTTCTTTTTTTAAAGTGTTACCATTATATTAATGTTAACACGCTTAAAAAACAAAACTGAACTATCATGTTTTGGTGCATTACTGTAATATAACTGTAGTAGGTAAAAAGTTTGATTGTTGTTTACTCTTGTAAGTTACTTCTTTAATAAGATAACAAACAATATTTATATTTATGCATCACACATTGGCATGCTTAAGCCGCACCGGGCAGGTCCTATCTATTTTTTAAGAACAATATTTTTATTAAGATATAAATAAGTTAAAATAACAAGTTTTATCTTTGTATTTGTTACATGTCTAGTATAGATTTTAATAATATATATCATATCAGTTAGTTTTTTTTATTGAACAGATTTTTTCGTTTTACATTATAATTTTGTCATTGGTATTAGATGGCTAACCATATACAGCATTGAAACTTCGGGAAAACATACATATACTATAGAGTTATTATTATATAACAAACTATATTTACGTAATAATTTATTATACTACAGTTACTTATTTTCATATGACTACTGTTAAGAATGCTTTTAGACTTTAATTTTTCATCATAAATGGGAAATATTTGAGTACTTGGCAACACTGATGTACTGCCAACCGTACCAAGGATTCAGTGGTGCCAACATGATAATAATTTACATTGGGCATTTACGAAGATAGCTAAATGCATAATGATTATCAGAGAATTCAATATAATTAGAACATTTCAATAAAACTCAGATATTACTAAGGCTTATTTATAGCATAATTACTTTCTATATTACTCAGGCCAGGCTATTCAGTATGTTGCAAACTCTTTGCACATTTTTATATATTTATTTTTCTACCAATTTTAATTGTATTTTCTTTTAGAATTGTCATATATTTTTATTGTCACTTTTTGCCTACAACCGTTTGTACACGTACCTATCTTCATTATAAGTATTTACCATTTTCTATCCATTGTTTGATTTACATTACACATACAGTCCACTCATTCTATCACCTACACAGTATTTATGTTATTTAGTGTACTCCATACGTATTTTGAGGTATTGTTTACGGGAATACTACGGCATTACGCATTGAGTAAAAACTGCTGTTACTCATTGCGATTGCGACTTAACATTTAATAATTTTGTATTCAGTTTATTGGAAGTCATTAAGAAAATTTGTAATTTGCTTGCCTCCAGAATATGAGCCGGACATTTGTAACTAAACAACTAAGATCTACACCGTAAATGCAAATAAATTATCATAACTAAGATCTGACAATAAATTCAGCTCTTATTCTTTTCAAATGAGCCTGTACATGATTATAAAAAATTAAATACAGATTCATTGCAAATTAAATTAAGGATATAATAATTTAATCAGAGACCGTAACCTGAACAGATCAGTTCACAAGCAGCACCCGAGTATGACAGAAAAGTTTTCATTTTATTCGAAAGCGGAATCTAAAATGAGTGGAGAGGAGACTGTTTATGGTACATCATATATTCCCCTATCTGTGCTGTTATAGATTTGGGACTTAGCTACTGCTAGCAATATATCATAGAATATCTCGATAGAAGGTCGATCTCCACGCGTTCTCCCCTGGAAATTTTCGTCGTTAATTCTCAGCTGATCCTCATATAAAATAGGAGATGAAAGTTTGTATGGAAATTCGGTATTTTGTGTGTTTTATTTCTAAATATTATTAGACTAAATAATTAGAAATGCTATCCAAGGTAGTGACCTACAATTTCGATGCAGACGAAGTCACGGGCACAGCTAGTAATTTTATATATAATGAATTATATACAATATACATATATTTAAACATACAAACACAACATTAATAATTAATACAGCGGATCTAAGTACATTTTCAGTGCGTGCGCACCGGACGATTTCTGTTGAACTCTTGATGTTAGATGTTGTAACATTACTCTTTGGTTGTGATTATAGTGTTACGATTACGATATCATACTCCACTGGTGTTCCGCCGGTTAATATCGTTAGTGCAGGCGGATCTGTCATCAGATCCGCCATTTAAAATATCTATAATACCTAACAATATATACACATATATGTATGTATATATGTGTATATATTGTCAACGTAAAAGTTCGGATGGATGCTTTCATGGGGGAATATTGCTATGTTTGTAATAATAGAAATAATAAAATAAAATAAATATAGTATAGTTTTGTACAGTACATACATTCATTAGTGAAGCCGTGGAAGTTTTGAGATACTCATATTATAAATGCGAAAGTGAGTATGTATGTTTAGATTGAGGTATGGTTGTTTGTTATTCTTTCACGTAACAACTACTGAACGGATTTTGATTAAACTTTATAGTTATTATAGCTTATACATCAGAATAACAGATAGGCTATAAATTTTACACGGATATATATAAAATATAAATATTTGCAAGAACAATATTTTTATTAATACATATTTTCGTTTTAATGTAAATTTTCTAGAAATATTGTAATGCCTTTGATTATATCTGGGTTTTACTGCTTTACTTTACTGGACGAAAATAGGGGTGTAAGCAGAGGGCCTTTTAAAGCTTCGGAAAGATATGTAGAGCGACTCGAGACCAACTCCTGCCGAACGGATAAAGCAAAGTTGCTGTTTTCGTTCCTGTTTCTCCGACTGCTTATAATCCATGTATCGGGTTATGATATAGAACTATATAGAACTTCTTCGTTTAAAATAGAAATAATCTTTATTGAAGATGTGCCTACACTTGAATATTTCTGTCAACACTCGGGATCCCTTCATTTGCTTACGTATCTACATAATTTTGATTTAACGCACATTACGACTCCGCGTTAAGTGTTCGCGTTTCTAAAAAGCTATGTGTATTACACGATCAAATAAATTTGCTACTGTAGTACAATCATTCCACTTGTACTCGTATACTCATTACCTATGTTGCAGATTGACAGTTACTGGCAGCCTACTTTAATTTTGTAAAATTAAATAGAAAAATAAATATATGCCATAAAATGTTACAATAAAAAATATGTTGAAAACTGGAAATGTAGCATCATTATTAATTTATCTCGCCATCAATATATAATTAAACGACTGCACAACAATGATTTTTAACAATCTAGATACTGTAGGAAACAAATAAACCACGACACCTCATAACATCATATATATCGCTACATTGGTGAGGTGATAATCATCGTGTTACAAAATAAACTTCATATAAGCACAGATAAATAATAATATAAGGACAGTATATAAAAATAAAATGTTTTAATGAAAAATCTTGATGTGTTCTTTGTATTGTCACCAAAGCACATATATTCATTTGACAGATAAAGTCAATAACTTTTTTCTTCGTACTGGCACATAAGAATTACAAAATAGGTTGCATGCAAAAATAAATTAAACAGACAGTATGAGCACAGATAAGATAATTAGTATAAGTAGGCATTTAAGAATATTAATTTTTTATTCTACTGCCATCACATGCTCTGTAAATCCGTAAGGAATCGAGATGGGTACCGACCTCTCTAATAAATACATATACATATATGTCGGTCCATTAGTTGCATACTTGGCCCCGACATCCACTCGTCGCTTTCTTCTAGCTGGTAAGGCACTTCTAGCGATCAACAAAGATCTCCATATATTTTCTTCCTTAGCTGATATCCTCATACAAGGTAACGCGTTAGATGGTTCAGGCTGGTGCATCTTTGTGTACAATGTCGGCTGATACTGAGGAGAGTGTATTGTGGTAGCTTTTTGGCCCGTTCGGTGCCGTTCAGAGTGTTAAAATAATAAGAGATCTCACAACCTACAAAGGTTACGGTTTCGTCACCATGACCAATTATGATGATGCAGTCGTTGCTATTCAATCACTGAATGGACTAGCTCAATGGACAGGTATATATTATTATAATTTGTAAACGTTATTTACAAAGTACATAGTATCGTGCAGTTTAACCTCTATATATTTGCATAATTATACATAATACAACGGTTGTAAGTGCATTCTCAGTGCGCGCGCACCGGACGATTGCGTTATGATTGTGACCCTTATGACTAATGTGACCATATTTATTCTCACGAGATATTGTATTTATACAGTTACTGACAGCCGAAACGGTAACAGAGTAAGATGTTTGCTTCAGGTAAATGCAGCCCTAGGTCTAGGTAGGGCCAACACGGGGCCCGTAACCCGGGCAGCAACTTCTGGGGATGGCTAATATCAACTTAGCAGAATAATTAACAGCAATATTGGACAAATTGTTTGTTAATAAGTATATTGCAAAATGTTGGCCGGAGGGGGAGGGAGTGTTAGGGGGGCGGCATTTTTTAGTTTATGCCCGCCTTGAAACAAAATGGAGATCCGGAGCTGAGTAAATGTATTTTCTTTATGTTATTGAAACACTTTGCCGTGGTTTTCGGGGTTTGTGTCATCGTTAATCTACAATCAAGGCCACTTAAACTCTTCTAAAAGACCTTGGCATGTCTAGAACTACATTAAGTTCTATAAAACGTGTATCTAAAGGTGCACTAGCAGGCTCCTAACAAATTTGGCTGGACAGAGAGAGAAACGCGGGCGGTGAATGTGAGTGTCGATATATGTCGGCAAGGGGCACCTTAAATCTACACCCGGGTCACAAGTTCCGGGAACTGCTCGGCCCTTTGCCACGATGGACCCAGCCCCCATCGGACGTCTTATACAATTACATATTTCAAAATTGAACAATTGTACTTAACTTTTTTTTACACTAGTTAAGCAGATATTTTGATAAACGGTACTGTTAAAACAGGACGTATAGTAATTTGAGTTAGCACAATGAATGTGACTAGTCACCAGTATTTTACATTGGCGGTTGCTGAATTAGCCTCACTGGTCGCTGAACTCTGCACTTTCTAAATTTGCAGAGTTTATCCTCCCAGTGATCATGATACATATATACACCACGTTATACTTTGATGTGTGACAATACTGACAATGTTATGGTGCACCCGCCTGCGCTAACGGTTTCCGCCGGCGTGGCAT